ATACCCGGCTACCAACCAAATCTTGTTGCAGGAAATGAACTGGTTAGCTTCAGTGCGACGCGCAATAACAATCGGGCCAACAATACCCTCCGTCTACTTAGACAACCGCATCCCCGACGACCACAGATACGCCATCGATCTCTTTCGCCCAGAAACCTCTGCCTGCAAATCATGGATCGCTTCGCTCCCACCAGCATCGGCCATCTTCGTCTCCTTCGGCAGCATGGCCACTCTCTCTGCTGCCCAATTCGCCGAACTTGCCTTCGGTTTGGCTGCAACCAACCGCCCATTTCTCTGGGTAGTCCGCTCCTCAGAAAAAGCTAAATTGCCTCCGGGCTTCCCAGACAGCACTGTAAAGAAAAATGGGGGTATGTTGGTGAGTTGGGCTCCTCAGCTGGAGCTTCTTGCAAGCGGTAAATTTGGCTGCTTTGTGACACACTGTGGGTGGAATTCCACAATGGAGGGATTAGGTTTGGGAGTGGCGATGGTGGGTTTGCCGCAGTGGACGGATCAATGTACTGATGCGAAGTATATTGAGGAAGTGTGGGGGGTTGGGGTGCGTGCCAGGAAGGGGAAGGATGGGATGGTGGGGAGGGAGGAGGTGGAGAGGTGTGTGAGGGAGGTTATGGAAGGGGAAGGAAGTGAGGGGATTAGGAGGAGGGTGGGGGAGTGGAAGGAGGCTTCGAGGCGGGCCATGGATGATGGTGGGAGCTCTGATCGAAATATTACAGAGTTGTTGGATAAGTTCTGTTGACGGCGAAAAATTTGCGTATGTACGCAGCGATGCGTATTTTAGAGATGTTATTCAGATGTTTATTAGGGGATTATATTCGCGTTATACCCCCTGTAATCTCCTTGTAACCTACCTATAATCTATCTGTACCTTCTCGTAAGTCTCACACTTCTGTTTTCACACATTTGTATGTTACAGGTAGGTTACAAAAATGTTACAAGGGATATAACGCAGATATAACCCCCTAATACCCTTTGAATAACCTCCCTGACGTACGCAACGCTGCATTCGTCTTACGTACGTAAATTTTTCTCCTGTTGATATGATGATGAGAATAATTTTCTTAAATTCCTCGTTTTTGAGAATACAAATAATGAATAAGATTGAATGGAAGAAGTGATTTTCAATTTGGTTTAATTCATGTGTGGGTCAAAGATGGTGTCTTTTTTGCATTGTGTTTTGGTTCTGTTTCGCATGATTTCATTTCTTATTTTATTAAGTGATGAAACTGGATGAATAGATTTATTTAAATTT